TTTCCCTTTTTGTTTATAGAAGAGAAATAATATCTAGATGCTTTACTAGACGTATGAGCCAAGCTTTTAATTTCTTTTTTAAGAAATTGGCTTTTGACTTTCCACCTCACTGAACTAACATTTCTTCACAGCTGCTCCACACGAACCGTTCTTCCAGCAACATGGATGAACACAAACAGCACTCGAGGCCTCACCCGAGTTCAGCAATCACAATCCTCGCTTACCCTACCTGTATCAGAAATACCTGCCCACCTAAAACTCAGCTACCAGAAGAAACAAACAGTATTAAGATCTTTCTGCTGTTTCATTAAATATATGTTTTTTTAAATCCATCCTCCAGGTTACCAGGTTCTTCCTACACTGCAGCCTCATGTGCCGTAGGGATACACTGCACTATAAGCGTCCTCTTTTCTGCATCAAGGTTACGAACAAGAAGCTTTACACATAATCGTTAAGATGACACAGCCTTTGGGCTCTTGAATAACCTGTAAACTTTGCCTGCTCGTTCCCTTTCAGCTGTCTGTCCTCTGTCCCCAATTCACTAAACCTTCATCCAACTAACTACTCTTTTAGTACTGCCCATCTTCCCAGTACGCTTTACTGCAGCGCAGGTATATCACAGCGATCACATTGTTCTTTTCCAGAAGAACTACCTACCAAAGAAAAAGCTAGTTTGGCATAACAATTGTCTGATAAATCCATTTATGCATTTTATTGACTTTTCAGTAGTAGTTAGTCAGTCTTCCAGATGTTCAGTAATGAGGTTAGATTAAAAACGAGAAGGGGGGCGGGGGATAATAGTTGTCCAAATTGCTCCATTACATTTCTTAAATACAGTTACGTTTTTCTTTCTTCACTTTTCTTCAGTTATTACAGTGCATTCTCCACTCACTAGAGTTATTAAAAAACTTGCTAGCCACATAAGCTATAAAAGTGATCCCAGTCAACTTGTGGGAGGTGAAGTTTGTTAGAAATCAGGCAATTTTGGCTGGACCTTATTAAGATAGACACATATATACGCACACACACACACAAAAAGTCATGTTACAAATTCGTATTTGGCTGCATTATCTCTTAACATAAGATACAGTTATACACTAATGCACATTTTAAAAAACGTACTTTAAAAAAATAAAAATCAAGCAACCAACCTTTGCTTGTCCATTATAATCATCATCTAAAATATTTGAAGAATTTGGAACAGTGATACCACGGAAAAAACGGGAAGATCTCAGGTATCGCTGGAAACTAAGCAACCTTCTCACGTTTCTTGCAGACACAGACACCTCGATTTCAGAATTTGCTACAAAAAACAAGAAAATAAATACTCTCTCTGACAAATCTTTAACAAAAAAAAAAAAGAATTGTTCGGGGAAATCTGGTTCAACAAATGTGCTGCATTCTTTTTACTGGTGTATTAAATGTTTCAGCCACAGAGATTTTTATTAATAGGAAGTACAGAGCCGTGGCTTAGAAAAAGTTTTCTACGTAAGCACCCTGCAAAGAAAAACAGATATTTACATCACAGCAGAAACCTCTCTTTTTAGGGAACTCTGTTATTGAAAAGACAGAGATATTACGGAAATTGTGTAAAAACACAGAATATTCCAAGCAAGTTCTTTTTGGAAAACTGCTCTCATGTATACACATCCAATCCACATCTCCGTAGCAAATCACTAAGATACATACACCCACAAAAGAACATCAGTAACTGTGTGTTGATATAGGAGTTATAAGTAGGTTTTGAGCACGTACAAGTAACTTTTACACAGGATTTTAATGCTCAGATTTTTTTTTTTTTTTTTTTTTACTGGTAAAGTTGTAAACACTCGAGTGATTTTGGTGCTTTTTCAGATAATTATGCTCAGGACCTCTTCTCTGCCAAATAAGTACCACATTTACTTTCACAGCATATGTAATTACCTTCGCCAGTACAGTGAAAACACTACAGAAAATTGTTTTAGCCTGTTTTCAAAGATTAATCCAAATATTTTCCTTTACTCTTATTACATTAACTGGTTTAGATATTCAAATGACTCATACTACATTATGTTCAATTCTACTTGATATACTTCAAGTGTTTTAGAAATCTGAAGGCTAAACTATGCATAGCTACAGTTTCTTTGCAATGGGCCAGATATTTTCATTCTGAAATATTTAAGGCTAAACTTGGCCTTTACTTTCTCTTCAGCAGTACCCCAACAACAGTTTTATATAACCACCAGTCAATAACACTGATATTCCCTCATTCTGCCCAGAGCTATTTATGTTTAAAAAAAAAAAAAAGAAAAAAGTATTAAGTAAGGAAGTCAATGTAAACACATTTTCCAAAAATGCAGATCCTCAAAACCATGAGCCCAACTTGGGAGTATAGACCTCTTGCCCTTCCAAGTACAAAGCATATTAAAAATTAGTGAAGTAAAGCAGTTCCAATTTTTTGTTCTTAAAGTCAGTCTAAAATACCGTACAGGGAAAGTTGTGGCCTTATTAACAACCTCAATTATAAATCTCAGTGATTTTTACTGACAGCAGTTTAATTCTGTATGTCTTCAGTTTAATTTTATATAAATTTTTATCCATATAAATTCTTGTCCCTGCATAAGTTCCAATGTACTTTCTGTTCTACATTAACTCATTAATATATTAATTTCCAATCTACACTAATAAAATGCCTCTGAACAGAACTGACAAGTGCACAAACATACGACATCTGATCAAATGCAGCAGCATTTCACATCTACAGTCTGCGCAAACAGTGATTAAATTGACAAAACTGGAATACTCTTTCAGACATGCCTGAAACTTCACCATGATACTGAAGTTCCCATCAGTAACAGACAACTTCATGTGAAATACCTTTCTTCCAAGTCGTCATAATTAAAGCCAAGGGAACCTCCTCTGGACACAATGGTACATGTATATATATCCCAGTTATCTAAGCAGATGCACTGCATATGATAAAGGTCGCTTATAAAGCAACATCCACACGTATAGGGGGCAAATAAATAGATTCTGTCATGCTGCATTACTCTACCAATATTTCTAACCACATCTGTTAACATAAGGTGACAGTCTGAGCACTGCCAGCCTGCAGAACAGAGAAGCAGGGAGCAATACAGATGCTCCTGTTAATGGAGCGTAAGTTGCACTTAAGAAGTTTTTCTCCCCTCAACCTCGATCTAGTCCCTTAAAATCCAAATTTCAGAACGGAATTAATTCATTTTGAAATAAAACAATACAAAATCGATATATTTTGATTATAAAATGATCTAAAATGTCCACAAAGCTACATACAAAATCCAGAAACTTCACTAAATCTCAGTAAACCAAAATATTTAAGTAGAAGAAATCAGCACTCTTCTGGAAGTACAGATAGTTTTCTTGCCCCTAAGTACTCTTTTACAGATCTATAGTTAACAAAAACCTACTTTCGTTGTCATGCTACAAATAAGTCTCATTGTCACTGATGCCACCCGTTCATCTTCGGCAAAACAGCAGGATGTAGGCAATACAAGTAAAACCACAGCTTTTGTCAGCAAAGTGCAGAACAGAACAGAGCATGGCCCATGTTTCACCTATATTCATGCTCATAGGCCGTTTCGGGGGTGTTGCACACGTGTTTGCTTCAGTGTTTTTTCTGTTGTTGATGTGGGTACAGAGGCAAATGAATTACTCAGTTTTCTGTGAAGCTGAACAGTCATTACTCTTTATCTTGCAATACGCTATTGAAACATTAATCTTCAAAATATCTTTCAATAAGTAAAAAAAAAAAAAAAAGGAGAAAAAAAGAGCATGGCTCCAGCTGAAGTAATTCAAACAAAAAACAACAAAGCTTACTTCATGGCAGCAATGCTGCTATTACAGTATCACAGCATAGCTGAGGTGGGAAAGGACCTCTGGAGGTCACCTGGTCAAACCCCTCTGCTCAGGCAGGGCCACCTAGACCACTCAACTCAGGACTATGTCCAAACAGCTTTTGAATGTCTCCAAGAAAGGAGACTCCACAACCTCTCTGGACAACTTGTGCCAATGCTTGGTCACCCTCACAGTGAAAAACTATTTCCTGATGTTCAGAGGGAACCTCCCGTGTTTCAGTATGTGCCCATTGCCTCTGGTCCTGCAAAGACGACACTGCCACTCTCCCATCTGGTATTTACAGACATTGATAAGATCCCCCATAAGTCTTCTCAGCTCCAGGCTAAACAGTCCTAGTTTTCTCAGCCTTTCCTCATCAGCCCCTTAACCATCTTCCTGACCTTTTGTTGAACTCTAGAACATCGTATCTTTTGTGTACTGGGGAGCCCAGACCTGGACATGGCACTCGAGGTGGCCTCACCAGATCACCTCCCTTCACCAGTTGACAACGCTCCTCCTAATGCAACCCAGGACACCATTCGCCTTCTTTGCCACAACGGCACATGGCTGGTCCATCTTCAACAAAGTGCCCACCAGAACTCCCAGGTCCTCTTCTGCCAAGCTGCTTTCCAGCCAGTCCAGCCCGTGCTGGTACCTGGGGTTGTTCCTCCCCAGGGGCAGGGCTGTGCACTCCTATTTATTCCCCATGTATAGCCCAAGTTAGGTAATAACAGCTTGACCAAACATCCTATTGTGTAGATCTGCAATGATTAGAATAACTTCCAAATGAGAAAAGAGATTTTGAGCCCTGACAGTCCTCTGCAGTTCCAGAACATCTAATTCAGGGAGACTACACCAACCCAAAAAGAAAATTGCTCTAACAGCTAAAGATTTGCTATGTGACAATTGAGAATAGGTGAGTCAGATGTGGAGGTTTGACAGATAATTAATTTAAAAGGGAGGCTGAAAAAAGAAAATAGCTAGCTTTCAAGGAAGGGAGGGTGGGGGAGGTGGGGAAGATAGGTTCTTCAGCTGCAGGAACACTGAGAGCATCCCTGCTTGCAGTTTCCTTTCCCTCACAGATAAATTACCATGGATACAAAAATCGACCACTTTGTGGTTCTGGCAGATCAGCAAAGCCAAGTTCATGGGAAGGACTGGTAAAATGAACGATAGTTGTGCAATGGAAACTTGGTGTTTGCCTCCTGGTGCAAGTGGAAAACTCATTCCGTTTATATGCATGATCGGTAAGAGAATGCCAGCCTACCCTCTTCTCTCATGAGTCACGATATGCAGTGCTAATTTCAGAGACCCTACCAAAGCAAGGTTCAATAATGTATTAATAATGGAAAGAAGGTGGTGAAGAGTGAAGAGCACATTACATTTGCTCAAGAAAAAGCATGTTGCAAAAACATCCCTCCTCCCAACCCAAATGTCCTTCATTTTATTTGGAGCTTTCAGTGTGCTAAATGCCTTTATAATATCCTATAGTGACCATTTGCTCTTAACAGATAAGGACAGTTTAAGGACAAATAGAATGAGAAAATAAGTAAACATGTATGACGTTTACAGTCTTGATAACTGAAACGGAATGAAAGCAAAGTCGGAATGATGGGCATGTTAAGAAGGAAGATGGAGCATTCAGAAGTGCCTTCAGAGCAAGGAACCAGAAGAATGTAACTGTAGGCCTTGGTGCCTAGTCCACAGCAGCTCTCCTGCTCCATGACAATCTTCCTTCCTTCTTAACTCTTCATGCCCTACTTAAAGTTAGAGTATCACTGGAAGTATTTTTTACTTCCAAGTTCACTTTTTATTAAAACTACTGTATTCTTGTTTCTAAGCATCTTAAATGAGATGCTGGTATAATAAAAAATGCCTTTCTCTAAAATAAAGGAATAATTCTGTCTACTAACATCAATTTTGATAATATTATGTGTATACAGCAAGAAAACAAAATAATGCAAATTGTCTTCATGCAACAGATTTCATCTGTATTACAAGACACTTGTTTTAATCTCTTCCCACTCCCAATCTTTTAAGTGTATTGTACTTCATGAAAACCTAAAAAAACCCCTAATTTTTGTCACATTTCACAGGGATATTAAATATTTATTTTTATCATGCTGAAATAAAAATACAGAAGGTAAAGACAAGTGACAATCACATTGTAATAATATACTGATATATGTATTCTCAGAATTTTTGCATCTTTCATATACTAAGGACAGACAACAAAAGGAAGAATAACAACTTAATTATGGTTTGGTTTAATTTTTTTATTAATAGAAACCTTAAATCCTAGCAAAATGCTTCAACTTTCTTCTAATGCAAAGATAAAGACTCTCAGTCTCTGATGGGGTCCTGGTCGAAAAAAGGCTAACCAGCATAAGAACTGTACCTCCATTTCTTCCCAGCTACAGCCCAAAAGGTAAATAGGCAATTATGAAT